ACTTCTTGAAAGAGAAGCTTCTGTTTATTGACTAATTTTACCCTTCCAATTTTCCTCAGTTTACTTGGCAATCCATCCTCTGTCTTCATCTCCCACACCACAGAAACTCTGAAAGATCACCAGTGACCTCCAAATCCAACCATTTCCTCCCATTTCCCCTCCTACTTGTCCACTCTGGAATTTGATGCTACTGACCCTTCTGCCCTCCTCTCGAGCTTCTCCCTGTCTTCCTCCTGATTCTCCTCCTTCCCTTTCTTCTCCAAGCTGCCTTTGCCTTGCCCACTGCTGTAGGAAGGAGTTCTCATCTCAGCCTCAGTCTTCTCATCTTGCTTCCTATTCTTTGTCTGAGTGGTCTCGTGTAAGACTCTGGTTTCAATGACAACTTCTCTGTGGAGTCAAGTCCAAAGAGAAAAAAAAAAGCCTAGTTATTTCAACAAGGAAACTTTGATATTAAAAAAAAAAAAATTAGCTACTAAAGGGGTACAAAAGGTCTCAAAAGAGCACAGAAGCCGCCGCTGCAAAGAGCAGTAACTGACAGGCACAGGGGTACAAGCCCGGAATCCTGGCTACTCTAGAGGCTGAGGCAAGTTCAAAGCCAGCCTGAGCAACTTAGAGTGATATTGTTACAAAATTTTTTAAAAGATTAAAAGTTGCTGGGATGTAGCTCAGCAGTACAGCACTTGCCTAGCATTAAAAAAAGGTAATAACCATGTTTTGGTGAAGAGACTATGAGTAAGTCAAGAACTTAGAAACTCTCCAGCCCTTCACCCACCAAGGCTGACCCCATCTGACATGTTTTGTTTGGTTTCATTTCATTTCATTTCGTTTCACTTCGCATTGCTTTGCAGGACTCAGAGGTGAGCCCGAGTAGTACTGTACATGAAGTTACAACCCTGGCCTTTTTTATTTTGAGACAAGAACTCCCTAAGCTACCTGGTGGGGTTTGAACTTGTGATCTTTCCCTTTAAATTTCTGCTCATCCTTCTCAAAGTTCCTTTCCCTCAGCAGTACTCCTTGAAGGTGGACTTTTCATAAACAGGCAGGCTGCGCTTTGAAGAGGAGCTTATGGCTAAGGCTATAGAGAAACTCTTTTGTACCTGTTGAGCCGAACCCAGACCTGCTAGGTCTCCGGGTGCTCTCTCTCCACCCTGTATCAGTGTCTTTCTAGCTCGCAGAATAAATTTACCTTCTAAAGTCATTCAGACTTCATGAAGAGAAACATACTGATTCATTTTGCCACATTAAAAAGTCACAGCCAGATGTATTGAAAATTTCCAGTCTCTGGAAGGTGCTGACTAAACCATCAACTTCACAAGGGAGGACACTGATTCTTTGCAACTCCCCATCCTATACCCAGTATCTAGCACAATGTCTTGACATAGCAGGGACTTAATAAACAGTTCTTGCATGAATAATGAACCCAGTACTTCACTTTAAAGACCTGTGGTGATCACCAGGAATTAAGTCTACCATGTATGAATTAGTCTCATTGAAGCCGACTGAATGGCCTCTGCCACATCAACTGGCCACCTTGACTTTGTTTCACACTTCCTTTCTCTTATAAATTTTTAAATAAAAGCCTCCTGTGCTGGGGGAATAAAACAACCTTAAAACTGAACCAGACTCCTCTTGAACACCTGAAGAAAGCCTTTGCTCCCAGCCAGACCTCTCGCTCCTGACCCTTGCCCCAAAGGAGTTTCTCTCTACAATCTTGTCACACAGAATAATTCCCTTTTCCCTCACTTTCTTCTTCTCCAACTCCTTTCCCTGGTCAAACTCTGCCTGGCTTTCTAATCCTCTTCAGCGTTCCTCAGGATCCCTGAGCACAGTTTTAATGATGTCAAGCCCTGAAGCAGGACATCAAAGAGGTGAGGCTGAAAATTTCTTTTCCTGTCATTGATTTATTCAGCAGTCTACGTCCTAGGCATGGGGCCCGTGTATGTGTGTGAACTCTACCTTCAGCCATGGCTCATGAGTCCATGTGGGGAGTGGTAGAAATTGGTAAGTATTCTTGTCTACAGTTTTTTAAAACCTTGTTCAAGGGAATGAGCAATGCCTACTATCAGTTCTATTGGAATCTTATTCACCTGTTTCTCTTGATGGACTTGCTCTTATGAGAAAACGAAGAGGCTATGACTATGCGCTGAAGGGATGGTGATAAAAAGATAAGGGGGAGAGAAGAGAGTGACGGTGGTCGGATATTAATCTTGTCCCCAGCTGCCTACCTTATCCTGCACTGAACTCTCAGCATTTCCTCTCTGGCACAACTTTGTGCTGGAATTTACACAGATGTAGGCAATTACGCCTTTGAAACTTGAAATTTGGCTTCCAAAGCAGTTTGTCTCATTGTCTACACAGATGCCATTTGAGTGAGAATTTAGAAAATTCAAGAGTTTAGAAAATGGTATCCTCCATCCCTGCCAGAGCCCTTGTGAGCCCAGAATATTCAAAAACAAGATGAGGCTCTCCGGTAGGCTTGGTGTGTGTCCACGGGCACATTTGGCAGATTTGCAACTCATTATCTCTGGCTTGTGTGTGTTCTTTTCCAAGAGGAAAGCGCCTCCGGTGGGTAAGCGCCAATGCCAGCTCGTGTAGAAGGACAAACCTCTCCCACGGGAGCCAAGCACTCATGAACCCAAAGCAGCTGCCGCTCCCCAAGCCCTGCATTGGGTTCTGAGCTCCTAGACTCAAGCAGAGGGGATAATAGTGCCTGAAGACGCCTTAGACATATGAATTAATAACTGGCTTTCTGCGTGTGCCTGTGAGGTAAAGGGCACAGGAATGAAAACAGAGGCTGCCCGGAGTTCTGTCAGGTGGTTTCGAGGTCACAGATAGTCTCAGAAAACCGTCACACAGGACTCAGATAAGGAAATAAGGATCTTTACAAAATGGCCCAGCTTGAAGACAGCAAGGAAAAACCTAACCTTAACACGCTGGGGGTTGCTATTTCACGAGAGCCACGTCATCACACATTAAGAAATTGGTTTTACAATATGTTCTTTGGTTGGTTTGGGCAGTGCGGGGGATTGAACCCAGGACCTTGCACATGATAAGCAATCATTCTATCACTGAGTTACATCCCCAGCCCCACACCAAGAATATTTTTAGTTTTTCTTCCAAAATCTCAAAGGAAATATCAAAGGAAAGACGGACAAAAGGTAAACTAGGTCGGTGGTGAATTAGGTGCATTCCAGTGACCACCAAAGTTCATTCCCTATCTTTCACGATCACCCATTATAATAAGATTCCAGCAATCAGTGTACAAGTGGTCAGAGGCAAGCTTTTTCCCTAACTTGGGATTCAAATCCGAGGTTGATGGGTTCCAGAATAATGCAAACAAAGGTTTTCGTATGTACCTGCCTATGGTTTTGTTTGTTTGCTTATTTTTGCAAAAATATCCATAACTTTCCTTAGATCTTCAGAGAAGTACATAGGCCAAATCAGACTAGGGATTGTTGCTTATAGCTGCATTATTTCCCGTTCCTCTGACATCAGGCAGAGACCTTGAAACTAGAAGCTCAGCAGAGGACCCTGAACCCAAGCGGTGGCCAAGTTCCATGAAACTACTACCCACGACAGTGATCCTCAAATATGTTATACCAATCTCTGCTCCAAGCATAGATGAAATATGAAATAGCTTCCTCTGCCATGCCATCCCGACCCAGCATCATTTATTATTTTCATGGTATGCAGCATTTTTCACAAAAACCTTCTCTCTTTCATTGCCGCAGTCCAACAAGAATAAATATTCTTCTGTAGTGAGGTAACTCCCTCCCTACCTTACCCACTCATTCTGGGCAAAAGGAGCTTCAGGGAAACTATCAGTTCTACCCACTGCATTACTGTTTCTATCCTTAAACATACGCGAAGAGTCTATGGTAATGCAGTGTCACATGGAAACATGTAAAGACTTGAGATGCCAGAGCTGAGCTAGTATACACACCTCAGTAACAAACTATAAGTAATATCTAACTCTACAGAGAACTTGGGGAAATCTCCAGGCAGGAATATGGGGCAGACCACCTGTCTCTACACAGACTCTGCTTCTGTTGCTCTTTCTGCCCTTGATACTTTCCACTGTCCACTCTCTTCCCTTCTGTAAGTCTTCAGTGCTAATCCAAGGGAAAGAATTGCCCCTTTCATTTACTCTGCAACTTTTCCAAGTTCAGGCTTTACACAGGGACACTTCAGTAAATATTTCAGTAGTAATCTTTGTTTTTGTTTTTGTTTTTGTTTTGTTTTTCTCCGGTACCGGGAACCGAACTCACGACCTTGCGCTTGCCAGGCAGGCGCTTTTGCCGCTGAGCTAAATCCCCAGCCCCTTCAGTAGTAATCTTGTCTTTCTTATTTTGCTAATCCTCTAGCAAGTGTGGCCAACCCTCAGCCCAAGCATGCCCCATGTTTTGATGGAAAATTTTTAAAGTGTATCTTGTTACTTATAGACATTAACTGTACTATACAGTTTATATACAGCCCAAGACAATTCCTTGTCACTCAGTGACACCCATGCAGAGTAACACTTAGTTTACCCTCCAGGAAAAGTGGATGAAAACAAACATAGACCACGACCATCACAGCCCAGGGATGCACTCTCCTCCGTCACACACTTTACCTGTATCCCCTCAGATTGGATCTCTATACTAGGGTGGTAACGGTAGAAGGAACACGAAGCAGGATGATAAATCTCAAGTTAAGCACAACCTGCAAAAGAAAAATCTCCCATGTTACAGAAGTCATGAGCTCTGCGTTCCTCTCCAGATTGCGTGACCTGCAGCCAGCTGCAGTGCTGGGGTTTGACCTCTCATGTTCTTTCGTATGTGCATACATTCTCTCTAATCTGCTGCTTTCCCTCCATAGATTGCATACAAACTCCAGGCACCGTTCTAGTTATAGATTTCAAAACACAATAGTTCATCACCCAGTTAGTCTAAGACTGCCCAGTGGTACCGACACAGCTGTAGAATCAACCCCACACTCAAAATTCTTTCTTCTTTCCACAGATTCGGAACGTGGCAGCAAACCTCTGTGTAGACAGCAAGCATGGAGCCACAGGAACGGAGCTGAGGCTGGACATCTGTGTGAAAGACGGTTCTGAAAGGACGTGGTCTCATGAGCAGGCATGTGAGAAGTCATAGGAGTGGAGTCCAGCGGGGCTGGCACAGACGGATAGAGGGGGACGAGTCTCCAGATAGTGCGCATGCGACCCAGAGGGAGGCCACGGTTCTGTCACCAGCCAGCCCTGTAGTTACGTGAATCACTTTATTTCTATTTCTGTTTCTCTTCAAAGCAGCTGGGATGATCAGCTGAGATAAAGTACATGAATAGGCTTTCAACGATAGAAAGGCAGGTAGAATTGTTCGCTGAGTATGGGAAATAATGCTTCCATGGACCTCAACTGATAATTTGAGTACTAGTTTTGTAAAAGTTGTTAATCTTGTGCCAGGAGGATAAATGAGATAACAGCACCCTAAGGTGGACTCCATGGGATACGATAAGACCACATATTGCTTTGAATGGAAAACCATTCAGCGCTACTCAGTTTAAGTGAGGTGTGGTTTCTACCTCAATTTGAAACTTGAAAGTCCTTGAAAGGGGCATTGCTGACACTGAGCCACTTGTGAAAGAGAAGAGAGGAAGTAGAGCAGTATCTGCCCCGTTTCATGGTTTGAATTATGAAATATTTCAGTGTGAAACTATGAGAAATACCATAGCAGATACTGATGCACTCACCACACAGATTTCACAAGGATCAACACATACTACCATACTGGAAAGGAAAGGAATTTATAAAGTGAAAGCTGTTCTCCCATCCTAGTCCTCTCTCTCCCTGTGCAAAAGGATATTGTCCAAGGTCAGGAGAGTGTGCCTTGCCAGTGCTTCTAGAATTGTGCAGGCTGGCTCTCTTATGAAAGCCAAGAGACTAAGCAGCAGTTTCAAGTAGGCCTTATGGTGCCCCTATAGCGATGTAATCGTGGATCCTGGACAAGGAATCGCCCCAGTTGGTACATTCTTCTATTACCTAATGCACTCATGGCAAGCAAAAGGACTTTGGCAAAAATTACCAATTGGGTGATTACCATACCCAGCCTAGGAGATTAAGGAACTGTTCAGCTACACTGAGAGTCTGTATATTGGCACCTCCCCTCCCCACCCAACCATCCCTTCCTTTCCCACCTCCACCCTGCATTAGAATCAGAACAACATGATGCCAGAAAAGCAATACATCAAGCTTGCAACACAGTCAGAGTTAATTCAATCAACACTGTCCCTTCTCTAACCGCTCACCCTACCTGGCCCTGGCGGTCTCCCGCTACAGCCTCGTAGTGTTCTAGATGGGTTGTGGGCCTCGAAGTCAGGCCATCCTAGAATTCGCCTTACACCACACGGCCTTGTGAAATCATTCATTCTCTATAGGCTACAGCTACTCCTTCTTTAAATAAAGACAGTAATACCTTCCATGTGAACAGGCTTCCACGAGAACGAATTATATCTGATACAGCAGCGCGTCACACATAAAGAAGATGCAGTCATTGTACTGCCCTCTGCCTCCTCACACGCATCCAGAAAGTCGCTTTAGGCTAACACCAAATCTCTCTGGCGTCCAAGGCAGCTGTGACTTTGGCTCCATTTTTCCATTCCCAGCACAGTCAGCAAGCATGAGTTATCATTCACTCCAGTGTGTACCGTAGGCTGTGCACATTCACCAGATGGACTTAAGAAAAAAAAAAGGTCTGTGTGACTCCAGGATTTGCTGATAAGAATCAACTATCAAAGAAAAGCGACTTGTGCCCTCCTCCCTCTATCCCTTCCTCTCTATCAACACACAGAGATCAGACGGAGAGTGTCCTCTGTTAACTCCAACAGGCAAGGCTGACTGCAGCCTGGGAGAAAAAGAGAAGGTTCGAGGATGGCATCTAAAACAGGAGGGAATATTCGTAAAAGAAAAGGGAGCAAGTTACACAGAAATGCTTTGTTTCTTTACCAACTCTCTTAAGCCCCACAGGAAGCTTACCTAGCCTAGCCTTGGTATGAGGGACGCATGCCTGGGAGCCGGATCAGGTTTAATATTTCTGTCCTGTAATATCCTAGAATGCAATTTGCTCTGGTTTGCAAATTTTATTTGACAGCTGGAAGCGAGTATAAACAACACCAACTGTATTGCAAACATTTTATTGGTTCCGTTTATCCCCCTCAGGCTAAAACTGCAAAAAATCGATGGCTTGTAATTCAAGAAATGGCCACCAGAGAGCAGCACTAGACAAGCAGAAAAGTACATAGGTAGAACGAAAAACGCTAGTTAATATTGCTCCTTTAAAAGATTTCCAGTCTCTGAAACCCCTAAAATGGAGCTACTGGAAGATTAAAGGATGACAGGAGGTGAAAAATGTATTAGTCTTGAGATATACGTCACGACATATTGACTCCGTTAAAATATTACAAGCTGCTTCATTTTGCAGTAATTAACTATACATTTTATTTAATATATTAAAGACATAATAACTGCAATTCATTTCTTTACATTTAGATTCAAATTTCTGAATGAGTAGTGTATCAAGACAGGAAAATTATGGGTATTCATTTTAATTCAAAAGCAAATTCATGGACCAGGATTGTAGCTCAGCGGTGTAGCACCTGCCCGGCAAGCGCGAGGCCCTAGGTTCAATTCACAATATCAAAAAAAAGAAAAACAAAAAGCAAATTCATATAAAGGGAGATGCTTGGAGTTGAAATAATTTTTCCCAAAAAATAGACAAAAGTAGAACAAAACTGTGTAAACAAAATTACTACACAGGAAACAAAGACCCTATTGAAGCACCTTTATGAGAAAATGCTGTTTGTTGCAAAACAAGATTCATGACTAATCTGGCTGCTGTGAAGGAAGCAGATGTGTGATTCATTCTTCCAGGGTGATCTGTTTAGCTGTTTGATATCACTATAGCATTGTGTGCTGGCTCTCAGTTTCCTTAAGGGACCAAGAAAGAAAAATAAAAATAGATCCAAATAAGACCGTAAGGCCTGGCAAGGATCCTCCCGGGCTCCCATTATGAATGCAAGGAGAGGAACAGGGGCGAGGAGGAGGTGCTCTCCTTGGCCTACTTCTGCTGCTCTCCCTCAGCGGGCCAGCAGCCGGCTAAAAGCTCCTGCTGGGAGGAAGCCTTGCAGCAGGCCTTTCTTCCTACTGAGGAAACAGGCAAATGCTCCCTTTCCAAGACCTGGAGGGAGATCTGCAAACAGAGGTTCAAGCAAGTCAGTGCGTGCAGCCAGAGGACAAATTCTCTTCCTGTGGGAAAAACAATCCACTATCAAGACAGAACATACCAATGGATAGCAACTACAAGGAGAAACATATTATATCTCAATTTCCACAAACTATATAACAAAATAAAATGTAAGTACCCACAGAGAGAAAAAAAATTATTTTCAATTGCTTCAAGTTAGGTAGCGGAATTAAAAGAAGAAAATTTGCAGTATCAAATCTAGTGAGTTTATTTATATAATGTTAGTCAGCATTACACAGACCACATGAATATTAAAGCAAAGAAACAAGTTATCACTGGGAATCTGTACTGAGGAGTATCACTCCAGAGAATGAAAGGAAGAAATTAACATCCATTTACTCTAAAACCAGTGTTTGAAAAACAATCAGATATGTCAATACTCTTGTCCATAGAAAAGCCGTGGAGTAGGAGACAAACTGAATATCATGGTAACATCACCCAAAGCAAACAATGAAAATGGCTTCATAATGTCTGCCTGCTTCTGCCTTCACAATATCGCACTCCGAAAACTGTGTCTAATGAGTGAAAGACTCTATGCCTGATTAGTTTGACATGGCCATTAGGGTAAGACAAATTACAATGCGAAGCATTTCAAAGACACAAAATGGAAAAATTGCAGCTAACGCTACACACAGAAGAATAAAGCAATTGATGTAATCTGAAGATATCTTATCACCTAAGACAGGGAAAGGTAATCCTTAATAATAACACATGAAACACGATGACAGTTACATGCTAACAGACTACAGATATAAGAATGGTCATCACAGTGTAATAACAAACTCAGAAACAAGAACCAAAAGTGAGCTAAGGCTGCCCTGAGATATAGTTGTGACAGTAGATGAAGTCTGTCTGAAAGATGGATTTTTACCTGTTTGCTAGAACACAGGTATTCTTTTAGACTTAACCGATCTTTAATAAAATGGATGACAAGACTGTCCGTAAAGGAAGGTTGGACGGGTGAGGTAGGGCAGAGACAAACTATTTCTGCAGGCCTGAATTCCCCAACTGTGCAGTGAGGTTCTGTGCTGGGTAATTATTATGGTCACTTTCATCTCTAGACTTCTGAGTACATAAACACCCGAATGAGTGGGACACACACCCACAGGGAAATAGATAAATCAGTCATGACTGCTTGTTCCTGCATGGCTTGGACTGTTCATAGTATGAGGGAAATATGATCTCTAAATATAATAAAGAGTTCATCAAAATCAGTTGCCAATTTATAGGCCTGAAAATTTTCTTTCAATGATAGTGAAGTACATCTAGAATCATTAATGCTGAAAATTCGAGCCAGGCCTGAAGGTGCACAGCTATAATCCCAGTGACTCAGGAGGTTGAGGCAAGAGGAGGGCAAGTTCAAGGTCAGCATGAGCATTTTGGTGAGACCTTATCTCGGGATAAAAAAATAAAACGGACTGGGGCCATAGGTCAGTGGTGAAGCGCATGCCTCCCTGGCACACGGCCCTGAGTTAATGAGTTAAATCCCCAGTACAATCAATCAATAAATGGCAGGGAGTAATCACTGATATTACTGTAGATACAAACAGCACAGAAGCACCAGATGAACTGAAAAACTAGTCTATTTATCTCAGCTGTACTTTCAACATAAGGTAAGATAATGAGGGCAAGTTTGGTTTATTCAGTGGAAGCTTTACTGAGCATTTATTGTGTGTTATGAATTGTTCTTGGTATGGAAACGGCCAATAAAAAAGCTGCGCTCTGTGTCGTGAATGACCTCACTGTCCGGTGAGAGAGACAGAAGCAGAGTGCCCAGGCGTTAGGAAGCAAGGGAAGGCGTGAGAAGGAGGAAGTCGCTTAAACGAGGAGGCTTCTTGGATCAGCGAGCCCCAGAGCAAATCTGAAAGGCCTGGTCAGCACCACCTAGCCTGGCCCGTGCATACTTACCTCTCGTACACAGAGGCACGCATGGAAAAATATGCCTATGTTGTATCAGCAACTACAGTCATTTTAGTCTTGTTGGAACAGAAGCCAAAAGAAAAAGGATGTAGCTGGGAGGAACAGCAAAGGCCAGAATCGGCAAGTTCCTACTACGCTGTGTTAGACAGGTAGTCAGACATCCGCCAGCCCGGGAGGCAGTGGAGCAGGCATCTAAAATAGCACACTTTGCCAATTAAGTAGAGCAACAAGACGCCTGTGCATGGTATAATTATAATCATTTGTTACGTCTCAGACTGAAAGCAGTTCCACGGACTGCAGTGACATTTGAAGGTTACCATTGCACGCGTTCCTCCTGATACCTGGCTAGCTGACTGCCTAGTTCCAAAGCGAAGCATACAGGGTTTCAGGCGGCCGGAGCTACCGCCCAACATCGGGAAGGGAAGGTTCTTTAAACACCCTCCTGCCTTGGGCTGGGACCTGGCTTAAATGAGAAGCTTATCTTTTGTACATTTCTTCCTTAAATTTCCTACATGTTAAAGCTTCTGAGGAAACATTGACCATCTAAAAAGGACAGGAAGATATTTTTTCAGTTCCAAAGTAACATTCAAATAAAATGTTGATAGGCTCATAGTAAACTTAGTACCCGGACCCCAGTAGTAAATTTTGTGTGCACAAAAGGCCCCGAACTGGCCCTCAGTGTAGATGCCCTCGTGGGACTGCCCGCTTTCTCCCTTGAAGGTATAACTCTCTGTGTGTCTACAGTAAATTCTACCTATACCTCTGCACGGCCTCCTGTGCATCTTGACTGAATTATTTCATCAAGGACACAAAGAACAGAGGACCGAGGAATTGAGAGGCTGTCTCCTCAATGCGTCAGGCCCCAGCGTCCCAGTGACGTTAAAGACTGAATTTGATTCTCCGAGGGTCATGTGAAAATATGGGATTTGATGTTGAGAGAGAACCTGGCCAAGCAGGCATTTCAAGCAGACTTCTCTAAAAGCCAAGAAGAACAGATGTGTAGGAACCAAAACAGGAAAATGGGAAAGAAATCAGTTAGGAGGTTGTTCCTGTAGACAAAAGACATTGAGAGAACTGGTTGTGAGGACAGAGAGGAAGGCAAATAATTCCAGAATTCTTTCTAACACAAAAATGCCAAGACTTGGTAATTGATTTGATGAAGAAAGTGAAGGGCCGGGGGACAAAGCAGCTAAGGATTCCCTGGGTGAGAAGCTGAATGCTAATTCCTTCCACTAACACAAAATAAGGGGTAGAAGCAAGGTAGAGGAGAAGAACAGCAATCGTGATTAGTATGTGTAGAATTTGAGCTGACCTTGGGACATGCTGCTGAGAAGTCCAGGGGAGTTTGACGAATACAGATAATGAGTTATCAGCATAGTGGTGAGAGTTCAATGGAGACTATTTAAAACCAACCAGGGAAGAGAGAGGACCCTGAGTAACATCTATGCTGAGGAGATGGATCAAAGAGGGTGGGCAAGATAGTCAGAGGATAACAGGAAATCCTGGGGTTTCAAAAGCCATGAGAGTAGCACATATGATTAGAAAAGAGTGATCAAAAAACAGCCGCACAGACACTTCCTTGAGCAGTCATTCACCTGCATAGAATTCAAAGGAATCTAAAAATGTCTCAGCCCACAATTATATGAAAAGTAAGGGGGAAAAAAAAAACTCTAGGAAAAAGGCCACAAAAAAAGGCCACATAATTCCTCTTCGTGAATCTGTTTCAAATGCTGAACATGAAACCCCTACTTGAAACATTCCCCTTTGTCCTGTCTTCCTGGGATACAGAGCACGGTGGCTGACCATTCCTCAGACGATCCCCTTTCATAGGTTTGCTTTAGATCGTTTCTTTCTTATTTTCTTCAGACCACTTAACCCAGTTCATTCAATTTTTCTTCCAATTCCCCACCACTTAGCAGCTTTTGTTGGCCCTCCCTGGAATCATGCCAGACTGTCCATATGTTCTTTCCTGAATAGGACCCAAAACAGGAAGTACAGTACAGGGAGGGCTTGGTCAGCGCTAAGGATATTATCCACTTACAGCTGAGCACTGTGCTTGTCTTTATATCAACAGGGTTTCCCTGACAGCTCTTCATTTTGCAGCTCGGAGCTTGGCTTCTCACAGCCGGGCTGCCGTAAGTCCTGTTGTAAGAATTACGTAACCTCGCTGAAATTTCAGAATTGGAAGAAATCACAGGGCTCGTCTAGTCTATTCTCCTCCTCTCGAAAGATTTCTCCTACTGTACCTCTCAAATGTGCTTCAGCCCCAATACTCAACAAAGTGCTCTCCCCTCCACGAGTGTGTTTTGTTAATTTACTACACCGTAAAATAAATTTAGCTCATCATAATTTTTTTTTTTGCAGAACTGGAGGATTGAACCTAAGGACTTTATACTGAGCTACATCTTTTTTTTTGAGACAGGCTTTCACTAAGTCACTACATTGCCTGTGCTGAGCTCAAATTGTGCTCCTCTTGCCTCAGCCTCTCAGAGTACTGGATGTACAGGCCTGTGCTACCATGCCCAGCTATAAATACTATTTTTAATATAACTGACTGCAATAGATGACATAAGATAGAATAAACATAGATAGGAAAATGCTGGACGGAGTAGTAGAGCATATTAAACGCACAAAGGGTAAATACCATTCCATGAAACCTCCCTCCCAGCTGGGCTGGGGAAAGATCTGTGTGTTAACTGTATTCTCCCTGTGAATTACAGTCTAAGACTTTCTATACTGTGTGGCAGAACTACTCTTCCAACCGTAGAAAATTAATTTGGTTTTTCTTTACTTTAAGCTTAGCTTTTCTTAAAGGAGATTTTCAAGGTGTTGCATCAGTCCGGCTTGACTCTACTCCTTGTCCTTTTGCTGATAAACTGCCCTTTTAGGCTAACTGGGCAGCATTTGACCCAGGAACATTTTATTTACATGACAAATGTAGAGCCTCATTAAAGACTTTCTCTGTCTGCCTCTCCTTTCCTCTCCTTTCTTCCTTCTGCTCCTCCTCCCCCTTCAATCTCTCTGTCTCTCTTTCTCCCTGTCTCTCTCTCTGTGTCACTCTCTCTCTGTCTCTCTTTCTGTCTCTCTGTCTCTCTGTCTCTGTCTCTATCTCTCTCTGTCTCTCTCTGTCTCTCTCTCTCACCCCTAATGCTGTTCCCTTGGTTGCTGTGGATTTTTGTCTCCTGGTATCTAACTGAAAACTCATTTGCATTTTTTTGCCACCTGGGCCAAAGGTGCAAAGACTTTGCTGCTATAGCACTTTATGAAACATGACTTTTTCCAAACCTGTATCACACCCAGACATAGTTCTTTGCTGTCAATCACAAAGCAGAAGTTCTACCTTGCTAGAAGCCATACCTCCCCTAGTTCTGGAGTCTTCCTTCCAACTTACACTCACTGACGCATCTCTGCTGCGCTTGCTTTGCTAGCTCTTTACCTTTGGATGGAGAGAAGATATTCGACCTGGGGAGCCGCTGCATACCCGAAAGTTCTGCTTTGATGCCATCTCACACAATAGCCCGGTCACGCTCTACGACTGTCACGGCATGAAGGGGAACCAGTTCTGGGGATACCGGAAGGTGAGAGTCCGTTCTCTGTGGTTATTTGCAAACTGCCGTACTTTCAGGTTTGCTGAGTCCCTTTAAAACATGCTGATTTGATTGAAGGAGTTATCTGAACATATGTGCACACACTTCTCTTACACATTTGGAGACCACCAGCAAAGGCAAAGACACAGTGTGCAGGAAGGGACACGTTTCTGGCTTTGCTGAAAACGAATCTGAGTCAAAACAGTAGCACTATAAGGCACGGGTGTGGACTCATCTCACAGAAACTACAAGAGGGACCCTGTGCCCAACAAACAAACACACTCGTGCATCATTTTTTATACCTTTTTTTTTTTTTTGTACCAGGAATTGAACTCAGGACCTTGCACTTGCCCGCAAGGCACTTGTGCCACTGAGCTATATCCCTAGCCTCACACATGCATAATTTTTAAGAACCACCGTTCATAATACAGAGAGATTAATACATCTACTAACTTATTTTATTTCTCAGGCTCTTGCTTGGAAGCTGGTTGGGTAAAGACAATTACATCAATACAAAATGATGTGTCTGTGTAAATAAAATTATCGCAACACATACAAAAAGTGGCCCTTCATAATTTAACTCCAATTCTGTCCAAGTGCATCAAAGAATATATTCTGAGAACTTTAAAAATTTTAAAAATGAGGACATTAACACTTTGTGGTATAAAAGTAGTTCAAAACCAAATATAAAATCCCATTGTATTGAGTTAATATAGAGCAAATAAATAATAACTTGTTTTTATATATTTTCATTAATCTCCTTTTGGGTGACTTTTTAGAACACCGTACAATATTGTGTTCTACTTCTTTGCTTTTTGAACTAGGAGTTGGCTGCCAATCACCAAGGCTACTTTCTCCCCTCAGACCCAGGGAACCGCCAGAGACTTTCCAGCCAGGGAGGAAGTGCCTTTTCCTTGCTTTTCCGGGCTCCGGCATAATCCAGCCTTACCTGAGGCCGGCAGGAAAATGTGATGCTAATGCTCACTGTTTAATCATGAGCTAAAGGCACATCAGTGGCCCCTGAATTTACAGGAAACTGAGGGGAAGAAGCTGTGAGCCGTAAATGGTGAGGGCACTGCTCAGGGTACCTGCTTCTCACTTCATAAGAGTTCCACCGGTTGGAAATGTTACTCAGGGCAAAATGCTTGCCAAGGCCCATGGTTCAATCCCAAGTACAGAGAGAGAAACAGAAAGACAGAGACAGACAGACAGACAGACAGAGAGACAAACAGAGACAGACAGAGCCAGAGACAGAGACAGGGACAGAGAGAGACAGCAAGAGGAAGGAGGAGGAAGAGGAGGAAGAGAAAGAGGAGGAAATGAAAAGGAAGAAGGGAAAAAAAGAGAGATGAGTTCCATTTTCCACATCTAAAAGGTGGGCACCTAAAACTATACCCATTCAAAGGAGGCTTCTTTGTATAGTTCAGTCTGCAATCACCCCTGACCCCCAATATCTGGCACCTTGGGGCAATACCTCCACAAAAATTGTTCAATCTTATGAAATTGATTGTTCTATCAATTGTCAATTGTTCTATCTTATGAAACAATTTAAAATCCAAAGGGCTAAGAAGAAGGTGGTGCCAGGTATAATTTTAGGGAGAGAAATCACTGCAGTGGGAAAACCTCACTTTTTGTTATAAGGTGTATAATTGATTAATCTTGTCAAACTCTTTTCTATTTAATATAATATAGTCTATGGGTAGTGAAGGCAGCTTATTAAAATGATTTCTGCGACCTTTTAGATACTTCTTTCTAGTCACATCAACAAAATACTTGATTGGCCATTGCCTAGTACGCTGGAGTCCTCTAATGAACAGAACATTTCTCATTACTGTACATTTATAGCACGAGAGACAGATCACTCAATAATATGCAATTAAGCCAAGAAAATGCAGTTGTTTTCATTAGAAAGCTTACAAAGGCTTACAAATGGATAATGCATGTGCACAGAGAGCTCCTGGGGACAAAGAAACAAGTTGCAGTGATTTCAAGAGGTGATTCTCATGAGCTTTAACACTTCAAACTTTCCAGCACCCAAAGGAATTTGTGAAAAGAAATCTCTAGATGCAATTGTGCTGTGCCTCTGTTCTGAGATCTTCCTGGACATGCTGGCCTCCCTTTACTTAATGAAAGGTTATGTGCTGTGTGATATTTACACAGCAAACAGCATATGTATATTCAATCAGGAATACACCAAAAGGAATACACTTAAAATGGAAAGTTTCTGATTCACCTCATCTTAGGGAATAACTCAGGCTTATTTAACAAAGATATTTTAGATTAATCCCTCTTGTTTATTCCAAGGGTTATGCTCAAGACCTAAAAGAGAAAACACAGAGACAGAAGTCTTTCTGCAGTAATGCCTTGTCTATATTTAGATGTACTTCTTGGGCCTAGGGGTTCCAATAGGTAAGCTGTCTTTTGAGTTTGCTTTGGAGAAATGCTTCTTAGTATACTCATGAATCAACCCCATTGCTAAGATGTTAATTGCCTAAGCGTAGTCCATCTCCTAAGCTCTTAAAGTAATTAATCATCTATACCACCTCCAACTGTTAAGAAAGAGGAGGACTGGGACTAGTACTTTACACATCTCACCTCAAACCTCATACCACCTAGGTACCATTATGTCAACATTTAGACGCAAGTAAATCTGACTTTACAGTCTCTGCTCTTTCTTCTGCTATGCACTTAAGAAATAAGATCAATATTCCTAAGAAAGGCCCTCAAAGTGTATTGGATTTAGGGCCCTTCATACCAGCCAAGCTTCTCCCAGCTACGTGGAGATTTCTTGGAGAAATAAGGTGACCAGACGCTGTCTCATATGAGTGAGCAAAGGTTGTATTTGGGCTCCAACTTTGATCCATTAGCAGCAACCAGCTTTCAGCTACTTTTAGATGTGGCTCTTTGCCACTACAAAAGAAGAGCATCCCTGTTCCATGAAACTAACTATATTCAGTTACACAACTGTATTGCATAACAATAGGTACCCCGGAGGAGGAATTCCAATCCTTGTTCTCCCTGACCACCAGGGGGAGCTCTGTTCCAGGAATGATGAATTAAAGTAAACTCATCCCTTTGTTTTATAACTTCATTCCTCATTAACCAGAGGAGAAAATGCTTTCACCTTCAAATTCTCATCGGGACCCTTCAGTGGGGACCCGAACAAACTGGTTAATACAAAATGATCAGGCCGAGAGTTAAGTTAACACATCCTAACTGAACACAAAATTGTAATAGGATCTGGAAGAAGTTTTTTCAAATCTCTTATTTTCAATGTCTTCATCAATATAACAGGAATAATCCATGAGATAAATCATGGAAAACATATGGCTGAGTTCCTGGTCATGTGGTCAAATTTCCATCACTGTGGTGACAAAATGCACTTTTCACACTGATAACAGTGGTGAAGTACATCCCGATGCACTCCATCATGAAAGCAATCTCTCCTAAGAACCAGTAACTGTTGTTACTCTCGCCAAATTAAGAGCTACTTCCCTACCTCTTTCTTCTTAAACAAACATTTCTATTGGCGTATAGTACACACCTTAGTTTGCATTTTTCCAGATTACAATCTAAACAATTTGAATGCAGGTGATTTATTTGAGATGGTCCCCCCAAAAAATCTTCACAGACAGGAAAGAAGTACAGTGGAGAAGGGAAGGGAGCCAGAAAATGTCATTCCAGCTCATCTTTGATTAAACTGCTCCTGGAGTTTAGTCTCTGACACCTCTGGCCTGCTCTTCTTACAGACAGAGCTGTTCTTGGGCTAGACCAAGACCCTAGGCAGAAAGATACAGTGGTCAACTGTTAGAAGTCAGGCACAGTAAGCCTCAGGAAACAATGGCCAGGGTACAGACACCACAAGACACTCTGGTTGCTCCAAATTCTCACCAACACTGGGCGTGGTCTGTTTCTTTTTCCATTTTGTATTCTTTGCCTTTGTGATTTTAAAGCTAGCATACGTTTGTGAGCCATTTTGGTTTGGTTCGTTTGTTTGTGCAGTACTGGGCATTGAATTCAGTGGTGCTCCACTACTGAGCTACATGCTCAGCCCTTTTCAAGTTTTACTCTGAGACAGGATCTTGCTAAACTGTCCAAGCTGGCCTCAAGCTTGCAATTTTCCTGCCTCGGCCTTCCAAGGAACTGGGATTTCAAATGTGTATTACCACACTTAGCTGGATATCTTCTTTGTGAAAGACCTCTTCAAGTCTTTTGACCACTTTTTAACATATGTTGCCTAACTTTTTCCTTACACATATTTAGGGATTTTCTAAAATAAATCTAGATACAAGTGGTTTGTTGGATATATGTTGTGTAATATCTTATTCCCCAGTTGATGCCTTGCCTTTTATTTCTCTCCAGTGGAGTGTCTTAATAAAAAGTTAATCTTTGTGTTTGGGTAGTATTTAGTGGTCTGTTTAGGAAATCCTAGCTTACACCAAAGTCATGAAGATTGTCTTTGAAATCACCTTTGAAGCTTTAGTATTTAATCTTCTACAGTTGGGTATATAATCCTCTGAACTATTTCATGTGCATAATATATGGAGTTAATTGAGATATACATATGTTTGTACATATATATACACACATAAACGTATATGCCATTGACTAATCACCATTTACTTAAAAGACCATTTCTTCCCCACAGCACTGAAGTGACACTTTTGTTGCAAGAAGTCTTATCTACATAAACCTACTGTTAAATGTTCAAGTTTTTACTATCTCACCAAACATCTTAGCCACACAGAAGGAAAATTAATTTTAAAAACTAATTTATTCTAATAAGAGGTATATCTGTAAACTTAAAACCACCATCACTCTTAGCAATTAAATGTAAAATTTTCCTCCACAAACTGGAAGTACAATAAGATGCTGGCTGCAATCATTTGTAGTCAATCTTGCACAGTGGATGTTATTCAGTATAATCAGGCAACATAAAAGAATTTAAAGGTACAAAAATTAAAAAGTAAGAAATTAGTCTACTCACAGAT